GAATCGCCACACTGTCTTCCACAATGGTTGAACTAATTTACACTCCCACCAACAGTGTAAAAGTGTTCCTTTTTCTCCACATCCTCTCCAGCATCTGTTGTCTCCAGATTTTTTAATGATCGCCATTCTAACTGGCGTGAGATGGTATCTCAATGTGGTTTTGATTTGCATCTCTCTGATGACCAGTGACGATGAGCATTTTTTCATATGATTGTTGGCCTCATATATGTCTTCTTTCGTAAAGTATCTGTTCATATCCTTTGCCCACTTTTGAATGGGCTTGTTTGTTTTTTTCCTGTAAATCTGCTTGAGTTGTTTGTAAATTCTGGATATCAGCCCTTTGTCAGATGGGTAGACTGTGAAAATTTTTTCCCATTCTGTTGGTTGCTGATCCACTCTAGTGACTGTATCTTTTGCCTTGCAGAAGCTGTGGAGTTTCATTAGGTCCCATTTGTCTATTTTGGCTTTTGTTGCCAATGCTCTTGGTGTTTTGTTCATGAAGTCCTTGCCTACTCCTATGTCCTGGATAGTTTTGCCTAGATTTTCTTCTAGGGTTTTTATCGTGCCAGGTCTTATGTTTAAGTCTTTAATCCATCTGGAGTTAATTTTAGTGTAAGGTGTCAGGAAGGGGTCCAGTTTCTGCTTTCTGCACATGGCTAGCCAGTTTTCCCAACACCATTTGTTAAACATGGAATCCTTGCCCCATTGCTTGTTTTTGTCAGGTTTATCAAAGATTGCATAGTTGTATGTATGTTGTGTTGCCTCCGGTGCCTCTGTTTTGTTCCATTGGTCTATATCTCTGTTTTGGTACCAGTACCATGCTGTTTTGATTACTGTAGCCTTGTAGTATAGTTTGAAATCCGGTAGTGTGATGCCCCCCGCTGTGTTCTTTTTGCTTAGAATTGACTTGGCTATGCGGGCTCTCTTTTGGTTCCATATGAAGTTCATGGTGGTTTTTTCCAGTTCTGTGAAGAAAGTCAATGGTAGCTTGATGGGGATAGCGTTGATTCTGTAAATTACTTTGGGCAGTATAGCCATTTTCACGATATTAATTCTTCCTAACCATGAACATGGAATGTTTCTCCATCTGTTTGTGTCCTCTCTGATTTCGTTGAGCAGTGGTTTGTAGTTCTCCTTGAAGAGGTCCCTTACGTTCCTTGTGAGTTGTATTCCAAGGTATTTTATTCTTTTTGTAGCAATTGCGAATGGCAGTTCGCTCTTGATTTGGCTTTCTTTAAGTCTGTTATTGGTGTAGACGAATGCTTGTGATTTTTGCACATTGATTTTATATCCTGAGACTTTGCTGAAGTTGTTTATCAGTTTCAGGAGTTTTTGGGCTGAGGCGATGGGGTCTTGTAGGTATACTATCATGTCGTCTGCAAATAGAGACAATTTGGCTTCCACCTTTCCTATTTGAATACCCTTTATTTCTTTTTCTTGCCTGATTGCTCTGGCTAGAACTTCCAGTACTATATTGAATAGGAGTGGTGAGAGAGGGCATCCTTGTCTAGTACCAGATTTCAAAGGGAATGCTTCCAGTTTTTGCCCATTCAGTATGATATTGGCTGTTGGTTTGTCATAAATAGCTTTTATTACTTTGAGATACGTTCCATCAATACCGAGTTTATTGAGGGTTTTTAGCATAAAGGGCTGTTGAATTTTGTCAAATGCCTTCTCTGCGTCAATTGAGATAATCATGTGGTTTTTGTTTTTGGTTCTGTTTATGTGGTGAATTACGTAGATAGACTTGCGTATGTTGAATCAGCCTTGCATCCCTGGGATGAATCCTACTTGATCATGATGGATAAGTTTTTTGATTTGCTGTTGCAATCGGCTTGCCAATATTTTATTGAAGATTTTTGCATCTATGTTCATCATGGATATTGGCCTGAAGTTTTCTTTTCTCGTTGGGTCTCTGCCAGGTTTTGGTATCAGGATGATGTTGGTCTCATAAAATGATTTGGGAAGGATTCCCTCTTTTTGGATTGTTTGAAATAGTTTTAGAAGGAATGGTACCAGCTCCTCCTTGTGTGTCTGGTAGAATTCGGCTGTGAACCCATCTGGACCTGGGCTTTTTTTGTGAGGTAGGCTCTTAATTGCTGCCTCAACTTCAGACCTTGTTATTGGTCTATTCATAGTTTCAGCTTCCTCCTGGTTTAGGCTTGGGAGGACACAGGAGTCCAGGAATTTATCCATTTCTTCCAGGTTTACTAGTTTATGTGCATAGAGTTGTTTGTAGTATTCTCTGATGATGGTTTGAATTTCTGTGGAATCTGTGGTGATTTCCCCTTTATCATTTTTTATTGCATCTATTTGGTTGTTCTCTCTTTTCTTTTTAATCAATCTGGCTAGTGGTCTGTCTATTTTGTTGATCTTTTCAAAAAACCAGCTCTTTGATTTATTGATTTTTTGAAGGGTTTTTCGTGTCTCAATCTCCTTCAGCTCAGCTCTGATCTTAGTAATTTCTTGTCTTCTGCTGGGTTTTGAGTTTTTTTGATCTTGCTCCTCTAGCTCTTTCAATTTTGACGATAGGGTGTCAATTTTGGATCTCTCCATTCTCCTCATATGGGCACTTATTGCTATATACTTTCCTCTAGAGACTGCTTTAAATGTGTCCCAGAGGTTCTGGCACGTTGTGTCTTCATTCTCATTGGTTTCGAAGAACTTCTTTATTTCTGCCTTCATTTCGTTGTTTACCCAGTCAACATTCAAGAGCCAGTTGTTCAGTTTCCATGAAGCTGTGCGGTTCTGGGTCGGTTTCTGAATTCTGAGTTCTAACTTGATTGCACTATGGTCTGAGAGGCTGTTTGTTATGATTTCAGTTGTTTTGCATTTGTTGAGCAGTGCTTTACTTCCAATTATGTGGTCAATTTTAGAGTAGGTGTGATGTGGTGCTGAGAAGAATGTGTATTCTGTGGATTTGGGGTGGAGAGTTCTGTAAATGTCCACCAGGTTTGCTTGCTCCAGGTCTGAGTTTCAAGCCCTGGGTATCCTTGTTGATTTTCTGTCTGGTTGATCTGTCTAGTATTGACAGTGGAGTGTTAAAGTCTCCCACTATTATTGTGTGGGAGTCTAAGTCCTTCTGTAAGTCATTAAGAACTTGCCTTATGTATCTGGGTGCTCCTGTGTTGGGTCCATATATGTTTAGGATCGTTAGCTCTTCTTGTTGTATCGATCCTTTTACCATTATGTAATGGCCTTCTTTGTCTCTTTTGATCTTTGTTGCTTTAAAGTCTATTTTATCAGAGATGAGAATTGCAACTCCTGCTTTTTTTTGCTTTCCATTAGCTTGGTAAATCTTCCTCCATCCCTTTATTTTGAGCCTTTGTGTATCCTTGCATGTGAGATGGGTTTCCTGGATACAGCACACTGATGGGTTTTGGCTTTTTATCCAATTTGCCAGTCTGTGTCTTTTGATTGGTGCATTTAGTCCATTTACATTTAGGGTTAATATTGTTATGTGTGAATTTGATACTGCCATTTTGATTCTAAGTGGCTGTTTTGCCTGTTAGTTGTTGTAAATTCTTCATTATGTTGAAGCTCTTTAGCATTCAGTGTGATTTTGGAATGGCTGGTACTGATTGATCCTTTCTATGTGTAGTGCCTCTTTTAGGAGCTCTTGTAAAGCAGGCCTGGTGGTGACAAAATCTCTGAGTACTTGCTTGTTCGCAAAGGATTTTATTCTTCCTTCACTTCTGAAGCTCAGTTTGGCTGGATATGAAATTCTGGGTTGAAAGTTCTTTTCTTTAAGAATGTTGAATATTGGTCCCCACTCTCTTCTGGCTTGTAGTGTTTCTGCCGAGAGATCTGCTGTGAGTCTGATGGGCTTCCCTTTGTGGGTGACCCGACCTTTCTCTCTGGCTGCCCTTAGTATTCTCTCCTTTATTTCAACCCTGTGGAATCTGACGATTATGTGCCTTGGGGTTGCTCTTCTTGCGGAATATCTTTGTGGTGTTCTCTGTATTTCCTGCAATTGAGTGTTGGCTTGTCTTGCTAGGTGGGGGAAATTTTCCTGGATGATATCCTGAAGAGTACTTTCCAGCTGGGATTCATTCTCTTCGTCCCCTTCTGGTACACCTATCAAACGTAGGTTAGGTCTTTTCACATAGTCCCACATTTCTTGGAGACTTTGTTCATTCCTTTTTGCGCTTTTTTCTCTGATCTTGGTTTCTCGTTTTATTTCATTGAGTTGGTCTTCGACTTCAGATATTCTTTCTTCTGCTTGGTCAATTCGGCTATTGAAACTTGCGTTTGCTTCGCGAAGTTCTCGTATTGTGTTTTTCAGCTCCTTTAATTCATTCATATTCCTCTCTAAGGTATCCATTCTTGTTATCATTTCCTCGAATCTTTTTTCAAATCTTTTTTCAAGGTTCTTAGTTTCTTTGCATTGATTTAATACATGATCTTTTAGCTCACAAAAGTTTCTCATTATCCATCTTCTGAAGTCTAATTCCGTCATTTCGTCACAGTCATTCTCCGTCCAGCTTTGTTCCCTTGCTGGTGAGGAGTTTTGGTCCTTTCTAGGAGGCGATGTGTTCTGGTTTCGGGTGTTTTCCTCCTTTTTGCGCTGGTTTCTTCCCATCTTTGTGGATTTGTCCGCTGGTCGTCTGCGTAGTTGCTGACTTTTCGTTTGGGTCTCTGAGTGGACACCCAGAATGTTGATGATGAAGTATTTCTGTTGCTTGGTTTTCCTTCTACCAGTCTAGCCCCTTCGCTGTACGACTGTTGAGGTCCGCTCCAGACCCTGCTTGTCTGGGGTGCACCTCTAGTAGCCGTGGCACAGCGAGGGATGCTACCAGTTTCTTTTTCTGCTCTCTTTGTCCCAGGATGATGCCTGCCTAATGACAGTCTTTTGGATATAGAGGGGTCAGGGAGCTGCTTGAGGAGACAGTTTGTACTTTATAGGGGTTTAATTGCTGAGCTGTGCACTCTGTTGTTCATTCAGGGCTGTTAGGCTGCTATGTTTGATTCTGCTGCAACACAGCTCATTAAACAACCCTTTTTTTTTTCTCAAATGCTCTGTGTTGAGGGGTTTGGGCTTTATTTTTGGATGTCCGATCAGGTGTCCTGCCCAGCTCAAAGGCAGACTAGCCACTGTTTGGCTGCCGAGGCTCCGCCCTGCTGTTGTGTGATTCGCGCTGTTCCTGCCGGCTCTGCTGTGGTCTCCGCGACGCCCTGCGGCGGAGTCTCTTCGTTGTAGCGTGTTGCCTCAGCAACGGCAGGCTGCGTCAGCAGTGGGCGTGTATCTCAGTAGGGGCGGGTTGCCTCGGCAACGGCAGGCTGCGTCAGCAGTGGGTGTGTATCTCAGTAGGGACGGGTTGCCTCGGCACCGGCTGGCTGCCTCAGCAGTGGGCGTGTATATCAGTTGGGGCAGGTTGCCTCCGTAGTGGTGGACGCCCCTCCCCCACAGAGCGTCTCGGACCGTCTGCCCGGGATAGTTTGAAATCGCGGTTTTGTTCGTCCCACTGGGGATCCCAAGCGATCTGTCCCTGCAATCCCCTGGGCTGGGCTACTGTGCAAGTCTCGTTCAGTCTCAAGTCCAGCCCTCTCAAGTCTCAGGTTGCCGGTTCAACAAGGCACCCGGACAAGCGCGCCCTGTGGGGATTGCTGGGTAGGGCCGGCCGCCACCGCCCCGGCTGCTGGCTTCGCCAGGCAGACCTACTGCCTGGCGTCCCGTGTCTTTTTATACTTGGGAGTTTCCCCGTTCTGTGGGCAACAAAGATCAGTCTGGAAATGCAGCACTGACTCACCGTTTGCGAATTCAACGCGGGCTCCAATCCTGGGTTGTTCTCACAGCGCCATCTTGAGTCCCCTCTCGCATTTTTCAATGCATAAGACAACTCCCTACAACAAAGAATTACCCAGCATAAAATATAGTACCTAGGTTGAGAAACCCTGCTTGAATAAGACGGATACATTGCACAAGGAGGATTAGAATTTTCATAAGTGGATAAATGGGGACAAGAATCACAGAGACATTACTATATGAGCAACGCCCTATGGGGAAAAATATAGGTGTTGTTCAGGAAATAGGAGGGAGGACTTCAGTGGGGTATAAGGTACACAACTGAGGCTGGGGAAGCTGTAAAAGGAAAGGGGCGTTAGCATTTAGGTTGATGCAGAGAGTACAAGCTGCTCGAGTTTGGATTTTATTCTTTTGGCCAGAGAGAGCCACAGAAGGATTTTAAAAATGGAAGCAATAGGATTAAAAGTGTGTTTTAGAAATAAAATCAGAGGGAAAAGCTTTGATTCTCATAGCAGATTGTAAGAAAATTCCTTTGAGGGAGTCACCTTTATTTTGGGTGTTGTCTGTTGATTATTAGCCTCTAGTTGTTGGAAAATAGCAAAACTACAGAAAAGGGAGAAATTCTGTGTATTTGGGCCTGCTTGGGATGGGCAGTGAGGAGGTGAGGAGGGGGCACGGGAATGAGAGAGTGGTGCAATGCTGATGTTTATGCTGTGAGATACTTCCTCATGGCTTCCAGAACTTTGATAATCTTTACAAAAATCACAACATGCTTGTTGTGCTTAGATTTCTTGGGCAAAATGACTATATTTGGGTTCATTATGAAGATTGGGATAGGAGGTTGGTGACAATGGTGCAATGGTGGTATAGAAGTAATAATTGGGATGCTTCTGTAATGGGCAGTTTCTTCTCCTTCTTCCTTTTAGATCCTGTAGTCCTGCCCCACAGAACTGCTCACTCTTCTCCAATATGCCAGTCTGTGTCATGCTTACATGTTCTTCTCTCTGCTTGGCACATTGTCCTTCTCTGTCTAGTAAACTTCTGCTCATCCTTGAAGACTGACTTCAAATGTTCCATTCTTTGCTCTGCGCTGTATACGAAATATCAATATTGTGTTGTGTTTGCTAAAGTGTTTATTTTCCCCAACCAGAGAGTGAGCCCCTTCAGGGATAAGATTGACGTAGTAATCATCTCTGACTCTCCAGCAGGTAGCAAAGCGTGTTACCCAAGTGATTATTCGCTGAATGAACCGTGGGTAATAAGGTCAGTGAGTGGCAGAAAGATTGTGGCTCTGGGCCCACATAGCCTTTGCTTGGCTGCTGTTAGAACTATATATTTTTTTCTCCTTATTAATTTTATATTTTAAACTTCATCCCCTAGCTTTAACATTTCCTTCTGATAGATGATATTCTATCAGGAAGAGGAAAAAAAAAAAAAAAGGGCAAAGTACAACTTTAAGCCTTGAGTAAATGGGCTAAAATCATGTTTCAATGTGCTTTTTAGAATACTTCCATGTAATTAATTTAACATTGACCTGCTTATTAAGAATCCATTATTAAGAAAACAATTGTAAAAATTATTAAGAGCATTTCCACAGATCTTAGCTACTGACTGACTCATCTTGCTAGTTCTTAATAAACTTGACCTGAAAATCTCTCACTCACAGTATCAGGTAAAATTTTATTTTTTTAACCATTAGCAAACATTTACCCTTGGGTTGATTTTTATGTGTTTTTATTGTTGTTGTTAATGTGAAGAAAGTCCTGTACAGGAACAGCTGCACATATGGGACAATGCCCAGGCATGGTTTAAAGACCCCTTTTCAAAACATCTTCCCCACACTGGTATTATGCAATGCCTCTGCCTCAACAATTAATAAGTATTTCCTTTTGAGTTAAACCATGACGTATATAGCCACACTAGCTTATTTTGAGATAGGGCAAGACTCTTCTGGCATCAGAAATACATATTTGGAACGTGGATATTTTGTCTTTTCTGTTTGTTATTTCATCTTATATTTTCCTTCAGAATTTAGTAAAATCCTTTATGAAAGTATAAGCTGGCTCAGGTTAGGGGTTTTCAACTCTGCTAGGGGGCAGGGTTTAATGGGGGAGACACATCCACCCTAGGTCTGAGGAAGTGATGAAGACGATGCCACATTTTCAAAGGGCCCCAGAGCCCTGGCATGACCCTCATCTCTCCTCCCACAGCACTCACAGCCTCTCAACCTCAATCTGCTAAGAGACAATCCAGGGCAATCTCACCACTTCCTTTATCCCATATTCCACACTATAAATTTATTCCTAATAGTCTAGATCTAATCCTATCTGTTTATTTGTTATTCTGGCCCACTGCCCATTTCCTACTTCCACCCCTTTTTCTGTGCCCTGTGGTCCATCATTGGCAAAAGCCCTCGTGTTCTCAGCCTCTTCTCTTAGTGTCTCCTATACATTATTGTTTTCAAAGAAACCTGGACCTCTGAGTCCAGCTTTCTTGTAGCCTGTTTGAGTGGTGCTTGTTTTCTGTTCCATACCCCTTTGAGCTAATAGGATAGAGTATGACTCTGGTGAGATCAAAATCATGTAGCCTGTATTTGGAATGTGAATTTGAATAGAATTCTGGACTTAGAGGTGGAGAGATGTCTCCCTGGTTTTTATTGCTCCTATCTGACCAAGTTCTCTTCTCCCTTGGGGTGGAAGTTAGACATTATCACCAGCTACCCTTTCTTATTTCAGTCATCTGCTGACTGGGTTACTGTCTCACGTTCCCTGAAGACGTAAGCTCCCAGCTCATCCTCACTTGTTTGTGACAACAATGTCGGTCACAATTTCTAGTGATTTAATCTCCGTGTAGATGACCATTTCTATGCTTTCTGGCATCTGAGTTCCCTGACCTCTTCTCCTATAATGATTTCATTCTCTTCCAACCTCAGCCACTCACTCCCATGGAATGGGCCATTCATACATAGCCTTCCCTCAACTTTGTCCTTATCAGTAACTGTTCCTCTTCCATAATCTCAGTCTCCCATCCAAGAACTAACCAGATCCAACCCTGCATGGCTTCTGAGATCAGACAAGGTTGGGTATGTTCAGGGTGGTATAGCCATAGATAAAATATCAATCTCAAGTATTCTACCCTAGGCCCACCACCTCCTATCTTTCCAGCTCACTGTCTCTCACATCTTGACTTAAAAATCCTTTAACCTAACAGTGAATTTGTCCTACCATCTTTTCCCTGTCTTTTACATCTCATGTATCCTTAGCTCCTTATCCATCCTAGATCTTATAGTCTGTCATAATCATCACTCACTTCATGCACCCTGAACTCCCAGGAGCCTCTTTCATGTCTTTTCCCTTTGGAAAACCACCAGTCCTAGTTATTTGCCGCACTTTTCCTACTCTGCACCTGTTTTCTGGTTGCTGAACTTGGCTGGAGGAAAGTACCCAATCTACTGCATTGTCTCACTTTAAACTCATGAGCCCTAAATTCAAGTGGGCCCAGCAATTCTAATTCATTCAAAGACTTTGTGAACTCTTGCTTCACAAGCATGATCTCACACCCTCTGCTCTCTCCTCAAACTTTTGGCACTTCCTTCTTCATTCTCAGCTGATGACCTTGATTCCCTTTACAAAGGCGAAAATGGAAACAATCAGAAGAGAACTTCCACATGTGGTTCCCATCACTTCTTCCCAGCCTGCTTGCATCTTTGCCTGTGTCCCCTCATCTATTCTGCCATCCTGAGGAACTGTCCATGAGTCTATCCACGGCATAACACTCCTTTTATATACTAGGTCCCAGGACCACATATCTACTTAAGGAGATCACCCTAGCAATTTTACTGAAGCCATTTTGGAGAGGATTTCTTTCTTTTCTTTTCTTTTCTTTTTTTTTTGAGACAGAGTCTCATTCTGTTACCGAGGCTGGAGTGCAGTGGCACAATCTCAGCTCACTCCAACCTTCACCTCCTGGGTTCAAGAGATTCTCCTGCCTCAGCCTCCCAAGTAGCTGGGATTACAGGCGTGCACCACTATGCCTAGCTAACTTTTGTATTTTTAGTAGAGACGGGGTTTCATCATGTTGGCCAGCCTGGTCTTGAACCTCTGACCTCAAATGAAATAGATTGGGCCTGGCTCAGCCTCCCAAAGTGCTAGGATTACAGGCATAAGCCATGGTGCCCAGCCAAGGCTCTCTCTTTCTTCTTCCTGATCAATTTACATCCATCAGTGTATAAACATGCTTATGATTATTTCTGTATTAAAATACTTTTCCTGATCTCAGGCTTCCCTGCAACTACCATTGCATTTTTCTAATCTTCTTTAAAACAAAACTTTTTCAAAGTATTGTCCATACTTGTAGTATCCATTTCTGCTCTCTTACTCTCTTCAATCACTCTAAGTAGACTTTTATCTACACCATTTCACCAATACAGCCCTTGTCAATGCCTCCAGTGACTTCCAGGTTGTCAAAGCGAATTGTCAGTTCTCAGTCCTTATCTCACTTGAAACAATTGATCACTGCCTCTTTGATACATTTTCTTCATTTGATTTCTGGGATATCATCCTCTCAAGTCTGAGCACTTAACATGTGGCCAGCTCAAATAGAGATGTCTGAGTCTTCTCTCAAAATCTGCACTGATCTTATTGGATACTTTCTCAATCTTTTTAATGGTTTCTCTTACTTGGCTCCTTAATTTTGAAGGACCCTCAGAATTTTATCCTTAAACCTGTTCTTTGTCTACACTCACTAGATGACTTCATTTTGTCTAATAACTATATACTATCCAATAACTACATGCTATCAGTGCTGTCCCATAGAAATATAATGTAAGCCACATTATAGATAGGTGAGTCATAGATATAATTTTGAATTTTCTCATAGCCACATTAAAAAATGAAAAGGGAACAGGTTAGATTAGTTTAATAACATATTTTATTCAGCCTGATGTCTTAGAAAATTAACATTTTAACATATGATCAATGTGAAATGAATAATGTTTTTCATTCCTTTTAAAATATTATTTGAATTTCAGTGTGCATTTAGCACTTACAGCACATCTCAATTTGAACTAGCAACGTTTTAAGTGCTCAGTAGCTGCATGTGGCTAGTGGCTGTATTGGACAGCACAGATCTCTATACTGGGCACTGGCTTTTACTGAGTAATGTAGCCAATGGAAAGGTTTTTTTATATATAAAGTTTTAAATTAAAAAACATATGTACAGATGGGGTCTCACTATGTTGACCAGGCTGGCCTCAAATTCCTGGCCTCAATTGATCCTCCCATCTCAGCCTCCCAAAGTGCTGGAATTACAGGAATGAGCCACTGCACCCAACCCAAATGGAAAGTGTTGAGGAGGGAAATGACATGACTACTCATTTTTTAAAAAACTGAAATGGAGTTTCACTCTTGTTGCCCAGGCTACAGTGCAGTGGCGTGATCTCGGTTCACTGCAACCTCTGCTTCCTGGGTTCAAGCGATTCTCCTGCCTCAACCTCCCAAGTAGCTGGGATTACAGGCATGTGCCACCAAGACAGGCTAATTTTTTTTTTAATTAAATACGGGATTTCACCATGTTGGTCAGGCTGGTTTCGAACTCCTGATCTCAAGTGAGTCGCCTGCCTCGGCCTCCCAAAGTGCTGGGATTACAGGTGTGAGCTATCACGTCCAGCCAGACTACCCATTTTTGAAAGGCCGCCCTGACCACTCTGTTGAAAATAAACAATGTGGGAGTATGGGGACAGCAAAGAGACTAGCTAGAAGGTTAGTACGGTCAAAGATGAAGGAGACAGCGGGGTAGACGGGGAGAAGCAGTGGTATGTTGAAGGTAGATCATGTTGAATAATAGGATTTCCAAATGGATTGTACAAAGAGAAAGGAGTCCAGGGTGGCTCCTGGATTTTTTATCTGAACCACTAGAGGAATGGAAAGAATACAGCTGACTCTAGGTGAGATGGGGAGGACTGAGATGGAGAAGTTCTGGAGAAGGCAGAGATTGGTAGTTCAAATTTTGGATTTGTTAAGTTTGAGTTTTCTATTAAACAGACAGAAAAAAACCACAAACAGAAAAAAAATGATGATCACTTCAGATAGCAACATGTCATAAAGAAAAGAAAATAGCCCTAGAGTGACTGAGGAGGAGTTTCTTAGACAAGCTTGTTAGTGAAAGCATCTCTGAAGAAGGGGCATTTGAACTGAGTCCTGAATGATGAAATGAGGCCAGCCAAACAAAAATCTGGAAGAAAATCATTTTAGTCACAGGGTGCTACAAAGATAAAACTTGGTGGCAGGAATGTCTGAGAGACAGAAAAGCGGCCAGTGTTTCTGAAGTGGGTAAGATGGAGAGGCAGGCAGGGGCCAGTCATACAGTGCCTTGTCAGTCATGGTGAAGGATTGGATGCTATTTTATGCACCAAAGGAAGCCTTTGGGAGGTTTTAAGCTAGATGTAGCATGATCTGATTTATGTTTTATTAAGAAAACTCTGGCTCCTCGATGGCGCATGGATTTATATTATATTAATTATTATTGCTATTATTATTACAGGAGACAAAAGTAGAAGCAGGGAGAGCAATTAGAAGCTTTTACACTAACTGTCAAATACATTATGGTTCTTTCCACTACACAGCTCTTCATTTCCTGCCTCTAAGTCTTTTCTTGATTTCAAGGGATTTCTGGAGGGAGAGAATGTGTATTATATTTATTATATTTCTTTTATTTTTATTTTTTTAGAGATGGGGTTTCACTATGTTGGCCAGGATGATCTCAATCTCCTGACCTCATGATCTGCCCGCCTCAGCCTCCCAAAGTGCTGGGATTACAGGCGTGAGCCACTCCACCCAGCCTGAGAGTGTGTGTTCTTAATATCTGTGCCCTCTGACATGCCCAGCACTATGTCCCACCCACAGCAGGAGGCTCAGTACTTATTTTTGAGTGAATTATAAAGCTCCTCTCAACAAGGCTGAGGAGAACGGTTTTTTAAAATATATATGTGTATTTCTTGTATATAGCATATTGTCTGTCTCATAGTTAAGACTCAGTGAATGTCTGTTGGAATGGGGCAAGACCTCACTTAAGATAACCAGTTTACTGAGAGAGATCCATGGATAGGCAGAGGCAGCAAAGACGGTTTGGGCTTTGCTAGCGTGGAGGGTAGGAAAAGGCAGGGAAGGTGGAGCATGTTGAGAGAAGAGAGGTGGGTAAAGTCACCCACTGTGAGCAGGCCAAGGGTAGGTTTGGCCTACATTTTAATTTAAGGCGGCCTGGTTTCATTGATGGTGATATGATCCCTATGTGTGGAAATAGCTGAAATGGTTTGATCACCATGGGACCATAATCTGTTACCCAAAGCCTTCATTAAGTAGATAATTCTGTTCAGCCTCACACATAGCCAGGCCTACAGGAGTTTGCCATCCAGCACTGATACCGCTGCTGCAAGTCCCAGCAAACACAGGATGGCAGGCCGAATTCAAGCTTTCTGGCACTCGTTCTCTTCTGGCTGGGACAGATGTCCTCAGGCCCAATCTTGCGCTGGCAGAGAGTTAAGTGCTGGGCTGGGTCTGTGCTTTGCGGTGTGTGCTAGGCTTGCATTTGATTCTGTCCAAAAGAGGTCTGTGGGCCAGAGGGATGACACTTGGCACCAAGAAAGTAACCCAGGTGTCTGGCCCTTATTCAGTCCCAAAGCCTTATTCTTTTCCCTCAAGTCTCTGCAATCATTTGGAATCCATGACTCATCATCCAGAGGGTTCAGTGCCTTTAGATTAGGGATCTACACCCATAGCTGATGATCCACTGGACTACCACACTTGGCGTCTAAACAGAGCCAACAGGGCTGGTTACAAATTCTCTGTTAATTACTGTGTGTAATTACACTAGACCCAAGGTTGGCGGGAGACACCCTACTCTGTTGTTATTTTATATATGAATTGTGTAAAATTTTTTAAAAGCACATCATTTTAACTTTCTAATTAGGATATGGGGACTTGGGGGTGGCAACTGTTGTTATTTAATCATGCTTTTCTGGGGAGGGAAGGAGAGGAAAAAATTTTCCTTTTTCTATCAACAATTGCTCTCATTTCTGCATTAAGAGGGTGGAAACTTGGTTCCTCCCTCATCCCCTTTGGCTCAGATTCATAAAGGTTGTTGATTTTGACTTTGGGTTTTCCTGCTCTGTTTTTCCCCTCCTTTCATGCTACCTAACACAATACATAAGTCTTCCTAGCCAGCACTCCCTAAGGGTGGGGTAAGAAACACAGCCCATTAAAAAAATTTTTTTTAAGCTTTGGGTAATCTTCTTTTTATATTCACCCAAATAAACCAGGTTGGTGGCATATTCTCCTTTGTTTTTGCATCTGAGATAAAGTTTAAATGGTGCCAGAATGAATCACATTGCTTGTGTTCTTGTACCCAGCTGCAAAACATGCCAGGCTCAAGCCCAGGAACACAAGTAAGATTGCATGCAGGCAGAAAGCGCCATCACTGTCTTATCTCCTCCTGCTCTGCTAAAAACACTGCATTTATTTATTTATTTTGTTTTATTTTTTCGAGATGGAGTGCTCCGTTGCCCAGGCTGGAGTGCAGTGGCATGATCTCAGCTCACTCCAACCTCTGCCTCTCGCGTTCAAGCAATTCTCCTTCCTCAGCCTCCTGAGTAGCTGGGGCTATAGGCGCTCACCACCACAGGTGCCCATCTTTAGTAGAGATGGGGTTTCACTGTATTGGCCAGGCTGGTCTTGAACTCCTGACCTCAAGTGATCCACCTGCCTTGGCCTCCCAAAGTGCTGGGATTACAGGTGTGAGCCACCACTCCTGGCCAAAAAATTGCATTTATTATATACTGCCCATTCTCGTGGAGAGCTCTTCACATTCCAATATCATTGTTGCCCATCCTTTCCTTCCCTTTGAGAGAGACTCAGCATTTCCCCTTTCCCATCCTATTCTCATTCCTACTTCCTAGCTTTACTATCTACTGTATAACTTGCTGAGCTTGAGTTTCCTCTTGAGTAAAGTGGAGATAATAAGAAACACCTGCTTTGCCAATGTCACACAGCTATTGAGGATCAAATGAGTTAATGGGTAGGAACATGCTTTATTTCTACAAATGTAGGCTATCATCAGTATTATTTACCTACTGTTCTTCGTTAGCTAGCTACGTAGTCTAGCTTACCTCACCGCGTTTTGAATGTAGAAGGCTAGCTGTTTCTGGTAAGTTTCAAAGCCCCAAGAAAATGATTGGAAATGAATCAATATAAGAACATTTTCTTGTTGGGTAGTTCATCCAATTATTATGTATGTTGTTTGTCTTCTTTTCATTTGGATATAGGTTTCCTTCAGCTGCCAGTACTGTGAAATAAAAGACAATATTATAAATCCTTTGGAGATGAAGCATTTCCATCCTAATAGCTGCTGCTCAAAATTTGATTTCCCCTTGATTTTCAATAAAAGGAGGATAATAGAATGTTATTAATTCTAATTATAAAGCAACAGGAATTCTAGGCATTACTTTCAAATAGCTGCTTTCATGTCAGAATAATAAGTGTTGAGAGGAAGAGCTCTGAGTCCTTTACTTATATTCTTTAATTATTTTTATACCTCTAAGGAAGATGGACAAATTGAGGCACAGAGACTCCACGGAATTGTTGTCTGAGTTGTGACAGCGTCTCATCTTCTTTTTCATTTACACATTTGGCATATTTTTTGCAGGCTTTGTAAAAAAAAAAACTTAGTCTATGTTTACAATTTTTGCACTGTTTTCATTTTATTTTTGGTTGGTGTTCACCCTGTGTTTCTGAGGGTTTGAAGCTGTCTACAAAAAGCTGCTGTCTTTGTCTCCAAAGAATATATAAACCACTTTTGTAGAATCAGAATGTGTTAGGCGAAGCCCATGTTTACATAGGAAAAAAGCAAAATGAATTCAATATTAATTAATTTCATGCTGGGTCTCATGCTAGGCTCTTTACGCGTCTCATTTTACATAATCCTCATGGCAACTATATATTATATAATATTTACAAAATTTTTCACAAACTGAAGTGAGCAAGTTGCATTATTGGAGTTTAAACATACCTGTGCTATATCCCTATGAAAAATCTAATTTACTATATGTTCTGGTCTATGGCATTTACATTTTTGAAACATTCTATCTTAGCAAAATTGTAGTTACTTCCCCTTACCTTGACAGATTCCACTGTTTTAGATTTAAAAAAGAAAGTATCCCCTTCACATGCAAGTATATTAAGATTTAGTTGTATTTAAAAAGTTACACATAAATCTGCAAAAATGCTAAAATATAATTTATTCATAATTCTTATTCAAATGGAAAGATAAAATATTAGTGCTACTGTGTACATGATTTTATGCTGATTTAACAACTGCCTTAATTACAATTTACATTAAATACCTCAAATTGCATTCTGTGGGGTTTTTGCTGTTGTTTGCTTTTTTTTTTTTTTTTTTGAACAGTGAAAGTGAAACTTTTAATGACAGTTTTGCAAGACTGGTGTTTGGCATGCAGGCACACCCAGTACAGTTTTAACAAGCAATTTATCCCCCTTTTAAATTCTCTTGAGCTGGAGTCTTGCTCTGTAGCCCAGGCTGGAGTGCAGTGGTATGATCTCAGCTCTCTGCAATCTCTGCCTCCTGGGTTCAAGTGATTCTCTTGCCTCAGCCTCCTGAGTAACTGGGACTGCAGGTGTGGGCCACCATGCCCGGCAAAAAAAAATTTTTTAAAGTAGATACGGGGTTTCACCATATTGGCCAGGTTGGTCTTGAACACATGACCTCAATTGACTCCCAGAGTGTTGGGATTACAGGCATGAGCCACCAAGCCCGGCCAGCATTCTGTGGTTTTAAAAGACAATACAAATAGTACTTACACTTGTCCTGTATTTTTAAAGGATTCTTGGGGGGGAAAAAGAGTTTCTGGTGGCTGGGGAACTACAACCATGTACAATGAGAAAAGTGTACTGAGTAAACATAGAGACCACCTTCTGGTCTGCAGCTTTAATCACCAAAGCTCTGTCAGTGCACATAAATACCTCTTTGCTGCTGGGAAGGTTGTATTGCCTTTGCCCAAGGAGAGCCCCAGATGGGATTTGAAGCCTTCTATACTTAGGGTTACCCTTTTCAGCCAAATCTAAACCACTTAAAAATAAAATGCCACTTTGAGCACAGTGTGATCACCCCCTTAAGGGAACTTGCAAATAATATCAACCCTAAGAAACTAAAGGCAGAAAAGCAAATGAAACCTTTTCACTTGTCTTTTCAAAGGGGGAGAAAACTATCAGTCTTTGGACAAATTCTTTACAAATGACATTATATATTTTATATTCCATAAAAACTCTACAAGGAAGGTATAATTTCCCCAATCGTGTAGATGAGAAGTAGCTATGTATTGTGTTTAAAGTCATGTGGGAGCCCAGATTCAAACCTAAATTGGTCTGGCTTTTTCCATTACATCAATAATTCCTCCTTGGAGGAATAATTACCTGGATTTTCTTCATTGAAAAGTTATCAAATACAATAGAACAAGTATTTTTTTTTTAAAAATATGAAAACAAAACATTTCTAGTCAGTTGTTGGATTTCTTTAAAGAAGTTCTGGGTTAATACCAGGTAGGCCTTTTACTAATGTATTTTATTTCCTTCTGTCTGCCACCAGCTGGAGCTACTGTATAAAAGCCAGTCATTTTGAGTTCAAAGTGAACTGTAGAATAGAAAGGTAGAATACATTTGCCCCTAAACAATTTGAGAATAAATTGTGAGGAATCGAAGACTGAGAAATGTCATGTCATAGATGATTAAGTAATAGCTATTTATCACTTATTAGTTATGTGATTTGGTCAAGTTATTTTGACTGTGACTCCAAGTTTAGTTAGTTATGAAATGGTTATAACTACCAATCTTGTGGGGATCACTGTATGGAAAGTTAAATGTTAAGAAATTAATATGTAGCCTAACACATAGTATTAATAACACATGTGGCCATTAATATCATTGGCAGTTATTCATTTTGCCATCAGTATCACAGCCCCAGGGATGCTCAATTTATTGGTAACTACAATTTATATTATTATTCATTATTGTGTGCCTGGCATATGGCAAGTGCCACTTGACTTCCCATTTCTCAGTATGTGATTTTTGGGTGGATGTCCTAGCCCATGAGGAGATGGCTTCAGTGTGGTGGACCATGGGATGGCACCCACACCTGGAGGCATTCTGCTTGGATGTCACAGGAAAGGAACCTGTGAGAGGCATTTTTGAGGTTGATCAGGTCATTTTGGGTAAGAGCAGTGTTTCTCAATATGTGTTCTGCAGGATTCTTGTCTCACATGGACCAAAGAAGAAAGAGAAATATACCACATATATCCCTTTTCCACTTTAGGGAGCCACAATGCATGTAAGTATATTTAAGGCTCTGAAAAATACTGTGAGAATCAACCCTTCTTCTGTTTATGCCTAATCATAAGTGATTCCTCCATTTTCCCCATGAAATTAAAGAAAGATAATATTTAATATATAAATTTAGATGAACATGGGTATTCATGATTTCATATTATAGAAAATCATGTTCAGAAATATTGCTTTTAACTCAAATTTTATGAGAAAGACATCAGTGTTTTCCTCCTTATTAGCAGCACCTTTGGAGTCACATAATTTTCTGGAGCGCTAATTGGCTCACTTAATTTGAGACACAGCAGTTTTTAAATGTGTATGATTTGCCACAGTAGATTTTATTTCTAGTTCTAAGTATCCATTTGTATAATACCTGAATTAAAAATTATCCTAGTATATTTTTATAATTATATTTAATGATCTTTAAAAGGTGTTTTAAAAAAAGCAAGTAAAATTGTGAGAAATAATTGTGAATTTTGGTTAAATTTACTTGCCTTCTATTTACTGCTTTTTGTCAGGTAACCTCTACTAATTTGACACCAAAACTAGCATTTATTTGGTTAATATGTTCACCCTAAATAATACATTGTCGATAAAGCAACTATAAGAGAGCCCAGTAATACAAGAGCTTGTATAAGAACTGGAATATATGACAATTCTTTCTTTTTGAGGGATCACTTGAGGAAGAACTTTGTCTCATACCTATATTTACGTAACTTAGTGTTGTTGGTATGTAAATGTGTATGTATGTGTTGAAATACCTGTTTACATGCTAGAAACACCCTCTTGGCAATGGTGGCAATAGTGAGTAACTGTTTCCATCAGGATTTTTCTTGAGAGTGGTCTGCTAGCAAGTGCTGTGTGGGACAGAAACTTTAGCCAAAAATCTGTATTTATAATCGTATCAATTTCTTATATTTTCTTGGTCATTTTTACTTGCTTTTCCCTCAGAATTTAGTCAAGTCTTTAAAAAAATTATAGCAGAGTCACTCCCATCCCTGAGACAGTTGGCCAGGAGATTTACCGAAGGATAGATACTCCATTGAGGCTAGAATGGAGGTAGATTGGCGATTAGACTGCAGAAGAACCCTCAGGGGAAGGTAAGGGCCTGGGGATAAAAACATGGCTCTTCTTATTCTGTCATCCTTCTCTCCTTCTAATCTCAGCACTGATGAACCATTAGAATCTCCATGGAAGGTTTTAAAAAACACATGATGTCACCTGAGAACATTTAAGTCAGAATGTCTGGGGGTGACCCCAAGGATTAGTGTCTCTCAAAGTCTTCTTCAGACTTGAAAGGGTTAAACCTCCTAGCTGATCATCAGTTCTTTGTGTCTTCCTCCTAAAAATTTGAACAGTAGTGACCTATTAGAAATCAGGAGTTAGATCTAAACTGAGAATGCATCTGTGCAATGTGCTCTATTTCTTTGCGTAGCTTCTCCCCACTCCCAAGTCACTCCTAATATTTCCATTATAGATTTAGACACAGAAAACCCGGGTGAAGAAGCTGCATGCTCCCGATGGGATGGGATGATATTGGTAATGGGAAGTCTCATTTCTGAATTGAATTTGAGTGCTGGGAAAGCATATTGGCTAATGTTTCAGTCCTTTGGTTGAATTTGTGTCTTTGACAACAAATGCCTGTGGTTGAGTTTATACAATTCTCATCTCTTTCCATTTCCCCTCACTTGGGCAAGCTTCCTCTGTGTATTTTTTCCTCTGATGAGAAACAGCCTCTGCAGCTATTTTTCTTCTCGGCCAGTAGACTACCTTCTTGTGAGTTATAAAGAGGATAAAATGTGAATCACAAGCCAAGACTAGAACCCTTCTCAAATGGGCATTGTCTATTGAGGAGGCAGTCAATTTTAGAGATAAAAATCAGGAACACCAGTCCAATAATAATAATACCTTACAAGTGTATACCTCACACGTTGAAATACCTTTTAAAACACTCACATTGTCCCTTTTCTCTTGAACATTCCAAAGAGATTGACAGGACAAATATCAATAGTCTCATTTTAAGATTAGGAAACACAGATGTTGTGAAGATAAATCGGTTCCCCATGATAACATGGGCAGGGACAGAGGTCAGACTAATAACTGGTTCTTCAGTAATTACCCACCTTGAGCAGCTCTTAAGGTTATAGAGTAGACCAGTGGTTCCCAAACTTGGCTGCCTACTAGAATGGCATGGGAGGATTATAAAATAACACAATTATGCCAACTTGCCTCTGGGGCAGTAATTCAATAAACTTGGGATGAAGCTCAGGGAATCTGTAATTTAAAATAATTTCTCCATAGTTGTTCTCAATTCTGATTGAACATTAGAATTACCTGGCAGGGAGGGGCTTTAGAAAATCCCAATGGAGAATCACTTGAGCCCAAGAGGCTGAGGCTGCAGTGAACTGTGATTGTGCTGCAGCACTTCAGCCTGGGTGACAGAGTGAGAGTCTGTCTCAAAAACACAAACAAAAAGCCATTTCCCAGACTGTATTCTAGAGAAGTTAAATTAGAATCTCTAGTGCTGGGATCAAGGCATCAGGGGGTTTGTAAGTATCTCCATGTGATTCCACTGTGCAACTAAGGTTGAGAAACATTGCTATCGACTAGAATTTTACAAACTGTTTTTCAGAATTTCAGCACAGCAAGTAGGAAAAGACAGGTGTAGAATGGTTACTTGTCTGGAGTAAGAAGACCAGGATTAAAGTCCCGGCTCTGCCACTTGGGAATGTCACTTCATCTTTCTGAGCCTCAGTTTTTTATTTCATGAAATGAGGAAAATGAGCAGTGTGTACCTCTCAGGGAGGCCATGAGGGTTAGATGGGAAAATGCAGGTGATATAACCAAGCACCATACAGCCACCAGCTCTTCCTGCTGTTTCTCAAAGAACTGTGTTAAAGATCGCGTGCACGTGTGTTTGTGTGTGTGTGTGTGTGTGTGTATGTTTCCCCCAGATGTTCCCTTTTTGTTCAAAGTTTCTAACCTCAACCTTATACAGAGTTAAACTTCTGGGACATGAAACAGAGCTCCAAAAGTTTCCACTAATGAAATAAGGTTTGGAAATTAAAGGAATGTCCTCAAGGCTTCTTTTTGCTGTTGCTATTGGCATGTTCAGCCCTCTGAACCTCGGAGTTATGAATCTGCCAGTTTGCTAAATGTATACTCAGAAGGGCAATTTTGTTTTCAGAATAGAAGAACACTTTAGCCATTACTATTCACCCTCCCCAACGCTCCTTTCTAGCTCTTTGAGCTCCCCTGAATGTGCCCCCAAGCACCTTTTGCTTATTCCCATTCAGCAAATTAAGGAAGGTTCTAGTATGTGTCTCTTATTCAGCACATGCTGAGTTCAGTGGAACTCAGGCCTGCTGGAGAACAAATAAACCCATACTATAAACACCCACTCTCTTGCCTGACAATTTGTACTGGTTAGAACAGAATCTTCTAATATTAGGAATGGTGGTGTGAGGATCATTTCATAACCACAAACACTGCAAAAGCGATCATGAAATTGTGGATGACTCATTGTCAAAGGAACACTTGAATCATTTTAAGCAACCCCCCCAGGTTGATCAAATGAGGAAACTTTCTGCACCAAACTCACACCATGCCATTAGTCTTCTCTGTAATTGATTGTTATTGCCAGATTTGTCTTGACCACATCAGACCTATTTTTAAACCTCTCACAATTAATTGCCTTCTCACTAAGTAAAATATTGTTTTTGTGAGCACCTTTCTTTTATTTCTTATGCATCTACTTGTTTCTTTCTTAAACTAGACAGTGCATTGAGGGCAGAGATTACTTCTTGTTTATCCTAAATAAAGTAGTACCTGATACACAGTAAGCTCTAGTACATACACACCATAAATTGTACATTCTTTCCCAATGAAAGGGGTTGTTTCTAACAAGCTAAGGAAACTAAGATTTACTTTGTATACCACTTTTTCTAGGGTTCCATGAACAAATAAATTTTGCCATGATATGTATACATATATATTTTACAGAAGAAAAAGAGAGGGAAGGGCAAGAGTGGGGATGAGGGGAAGGGAGGAGAGGAACAAAAGGCAGGATGAGAGAGAGAGAGAGATAATACTAAGTGCTTGATACTATTTTAGGTTGTTGGGATACAAAAATGAACAAAACTATCCAAAATACTTGCTCTCAGAATTTCCACTTGTGTGTGCGTGTGTGGGTGTGCACCCATGGAATGAGGAAACAGACAACAAAAATGTAAATAAGTACAATATAACGGTGTTATAAGGTGATCAGTGCTATAGAGAAAAGTCACTTAGGGTAAGGGAATAGAGAGTGATAGTTGGAATGGGCCATTGATTTTAAAATGGAGTGGAGAGGGAAGGCCTTGCTGTGAAGATGAAACATCAGCAAAGACTTAAGGAGGTGAGATTGAGAGTCTTGAAGCAATTTGGGTGAATATTCCAGGTGAGAAGAATAGTAAGTGTAAAGTTTCTAGGTAAGAGAGAAGTTCAGGGGTTCCCAGGATGGCATGCAGGCAGTGGGCCTGGAGTGGAGCAGTGTGGATTAGAGTGTAGGAGGAGAGATTGGAGTGGCTGGGCAGCTGAGTGGCAATGTTGGGATAGCTTTGGAGGGACCTGTGAAGTCATTGTAAAGATCAGCTTTTATTCTGACTGAGATGGGAAGCCATTGAAGAATTTGATTTAAGGTTGAAAGGGTCATTTAAAAATGGTGGGTGGGAAGGTAAAGAGGGAAACAAGAAAACCAGTTAGAAAATTATGGTAATAAGACAGGTGTCTCAGACCACAGTGATAGAAGAGGAAGTAATAGATGTAAAAGAATCTGAATAGATGTTGAAGATAGAACTAATGGAATTAACTCTCAGATTGATCACGAGTCATGGGAAAGAGTGAAAAATTAAGCCAAGTTGTTTAATCTGAATAGCTCAGTGGATGGATGGAGTTGCTAGTAATTGAGAAAGAGATTCCTAAAGAAGAGGTTTTGAAGTAAAGGGGAAGGTGATCTATCTGTCC